ATGGCTACACAGAAACGCCACAGAGTTGGGAGCAAAAGTGCTGTAGCTACTCAGGGCATGGCTACACTTGCAGATGTAGAGCACTTTGAGTTAAACCAGCCTTTGTAGAGCGCAGTAGGGAAAGCGATGCAGTCTGTCCACACTGACAGCTTCAAGCACACTGGCGTGGCCACATCAGCAGCTCTTGCAATGGCCACAGAGAGCAGTACATTGTAGTAGCTATCCAGCATGCAAGTGGCTGCAACATGCTTTTCAAATGAGGTGGGGTGGGGTGGGGTGGAGTGTGACAGGGAGTGTGTTGTGTGTATGTGGGGGGAGAGAGAGTGCGTTTTGGGGGGGCTGAGAGCATGTCAGCATGCTGTCTTGTAAGTTCAGACAATAGCAGAAAACCCCCTTCCCCCCCAGCCTCTCTCTCTCTCACACAGCATTCCACGCTAATGGTTGCTTTGTCCCGGAGCAGGTAAGCAGCCGGCTGTCAGAAACGGATCTTTCAAAGGGCATAGCCGCATTCCTGCAGCAATTCCAAAAGAATGAGAAGAGTGGCCACTTGACTTAAGGGGATTATAGGACCTTTCCGGAGGCTGATCAGAGCGCAGTAATGCAACACCACGTTCACACTGACGCCTGGGCGTTTCAGCCAATGCGCAACAAGCATTAATCTTCTCGCCGAGATGGAGTACCAGGAGCGCTCTAGCCGTGGGGTCAGAGCGCTCTACGTGCCTTGCCAGTGTGGACAGGTAGTGAGCTAGGGTACCCGGGGATGCTTTAATGCGCTCTAACTCGCAAGTGTAGCCAAGCCCTCAGGCTCTACAATTAGTGGTGCTTCATAACCTCTACCTCTTCCCTTCACCTTGCCACACCTCCATCTCATGGAGAATAGACTGACTGGCTCTTCATGATTTGAAACCTACAGAGATTCCTTATTGCTTTTTTCCTATCACAAGGGTGTTCCTGTGGTTTTGGAGAGTATAGGTCTAAAAGATTTACTTCACTATTTTGGAGGATTGAGAGAATCTCCAATTTCCCTCTTTGGGGTGACACATCCACTCCCTTTTGTCCACACTCTTGACATAACATAAATGTGCATTAAACTGAGGTGCATTTACGCATGTTATGCTAAATGAAGTCTGTGGTATCGCAGTATTTGGATACTACAGCAGTTGGCGCTATTTAAATACTATCGGTGATAGAAAAATTGGCTAGGTAGCTTCCTAGATGAACAGAAACGTCCTGAGACCGTCAATATCACTTACGGCAGCATTGTGCATGGCTGTCATGCAATATCACACAAACATCTCGCCAATATTAACTGGGATTAGTTGTTTCTGTTAGAACCAGCTAGTCATCCAGAGAATGAGTAAAACGATTGGCCCAAATAACTACTGCACGACATGGCGTTTTGCGATAACTCTTTGATTCTTGGTTGATTCCCAGATGGGGTATAAATAAGGAAAATGTGGGGAAAAGGTAGGCTTTAGAGCTGTTTTACAGAGACATGTTGAGAAATGATAGAGAAAATTCTAGCAAACATGCGAGATTTGTTTTCTTAAGCAGCTGTAGATAAATATAATGTAAGGAATATAAATGAGCCATTTGCCATATGTAGAGCGATCTACCTCTCTGTCTGAAGTAAATCCTTTCATCAATGGCAAGGATACCTAGTGCACAGAAAAGGCATTGTTTTATGTTACATTTAAGTCTAGATACATAAATAAATCAACTTTGAAATACAACGAACCAGACCTCAAACACACAGTCATGTTATTTCCTCTCCTGTTTTCTTCTCTCTCTTATCTCTGAGGGCTTCTACTTGTGAAAACACTTGGGGCAATCTTGTTGACTGAAATACTGGTATTTTATATTGCTATGAATTTATGAGGGGATAATTAGCTCCTTATTCCTCCCAAGTGATGCTGCTCCTCTTTTCTTTCTACTCTCCTCTATTTCATCTAACCCATCTTTCCTCTGCTATCTTCCTTTCTCCGCCCCTACTTCCCCCTTTTTGCCGCTATTTTTATCTCCACAGACCCCACAGTTGCTTCTCTCCCTTCTTTATACCTGTCTACATCTCAACTTGCAGTATTGCTTTCACTCACTACTTCTCACCTCTTCCTTAGTTTCCCTTGTTATCCCGTTCCCAGTCTGCTTCTGTCTCTTCTTCTGTTTCTGTATCTGTCTTTCTTTTTCTTTGCCCTTTTCTGCTCTTTCATCTTCCTTCTGTCATTCATGTTTATAAGATCTAGCCAAAGGCCAGCTGCCTCCTCAGAGCAGATGATCACTTTAGGAAGCCCCCTACTTAGTTTTATGGATGATGGGCTTCCTGGCATCAGCCCAAAGGTACAGATAAATATTAGGCATTCCAAAGACTGAAAATTAAAACACAGCATGCAAATATTCAATCCACAGTATTATTATGCAAATTGTCACCTAGTGGCTCATCTTATCAAGAAAATCTTCCTGCACCATCACAGTTGTCTTCCACCTTTAAAATCTTGGTCACTGCCTAGTTTTCAATTGTAAAGCAATTTGTTAAGTAACAAATATTCCTAATAACTCTACTCTAAATGAGACACACCTGTGTCATTTTTCAGTCCAGTTTTCAGACTTGATTGCCTAAAGTAAGGCACCCGACTCTAAATTTGAATGCTCAAATAGGCATTTAGGCACTCAAATGCCCATTTTAAGCACCTAAATACCAATCTGAGCACTCAAATATGTAAATAGGCACCCTCACCTAGGTGATCAAATTTAAAATTTTGTTCCATATCATTTAGTGCAATTACATTACAGTTCTGTCAGATCTCTTGCCAGAATTACGAATGTCGAAATATCATTTTGCCTGTGAAGCATCTGCTACTTCAGAGAACCCACTTAATGCATGGAATTTATTACTTAGACAAGCACTGGGGAGTATATCCTACTGCTAAATTTCTATGCTACCCCAGCTATCTGAAGAGGATCCATTTGCTGTTTAGAGTGCCTCACCAGTGGGATGCCCACAGAAAGCATCAGGGATACTGCTGGCCAGGTAAGAGTGACTGGGAAGTTTATCTAGAGAGGCAATCTCAGGGTTTTTCTTCACTGCAAAACTAACTCGAGTTATAACTGGGGTGTTGCCCCAACTCGAGTCCCATCTTCACATAAGTGAGTCCCTGTCACTTGAGTGTGGTGATACTTGTAACTCGAGTTGTCTGTCCCATCAGGGGCTATTGGCTACAACTCAAGTGAGCACAATTTTTCAGCTGCTAACATAGCCACTTTGTAGTGTGGACAAAGGCTAGTATCACTCAAGTGCCAGTAGTCCTTCAATGCCTTCCCACAATTCCTCCTGTGTACCCAAAAAGGACAGATAAGTTCTTCCAAAACATACTGGAAAGAATTTATAGGGTGTCGCAGCTGACTGCAGTGGAAAGAACCATGGGATGTGTCCCCAGGAGTCTTAGCACCACTCCTGAGTGAGTGCAGCGCCAGTGTAAACAAAGTAGCTTGAGAGTTATTTGAGGTTGACCTCTCACTTGAGCTAGGCTAACTTGAAAGGAGCAACTTGAATGTAAGGGCAGGTCTACACTGAAATGCTGCACTGGTGCAGCTGCGTTTCTGTAGCACTTCAGTAAAGACACTACCTGCGGCCACGGGAAGGCGTAAGTACTCTCTGGTATGTACCTCTGTGAGAGTCAGTAGCTAAGTCAACAGGAGAAGCCCTCACATCGACATAGCACTATCTATACGGGCTTAGGTTAGTATAATTACATCTCTCAGAGGTGTGGATTTATCACATCCCTGAACGACATCGATATACCAATGTAAGTTTATAGAGTAGACCTGCCCTAAATAACTCAAGTGACTCTGCAGTGAACACATACCCACGTTGACTTCACTAGAATGAGGCACATGCATAGGTATGTTCATCAATCAGGGCCTGAAGATGCCCTCTCTCTGGACACCTCCTAATTACACCCTTTTTTTTTATGTGACCTTTACTTAAATGAGACTACCTGTGCTTGAATTTAGGCACATGCCAAGAACCTTGGTGAATCAAGGACTTGGAGAAGAGTGGTGTTAGAAGGTCCCTGCTCCTCAATTCCCTGGGGGGGAAAAAAATAAAGTTAACTCTGGCTTACACTAGCACTACCTTCACTTTAAGAAATGTTTTGTTTTGTTTGCTGGACTTGCTGGAATTACATTGTAAAATTCCATAAAACTGGCAACTACTTCTGGTACACATGCAAGGCAAAAGTGTATCCAAGAAAGGCAGAATAAGAGAACCCTGTCAGAAAACAGTCTTGAGTGAACATGCAGCTACCATTTGCAACTTAAGGACAAAAAAGCCACCAGCTTGTGAGAGAGCTCCAAAGGAAGCTATAAAATGCACATGTCAATAGCACATTTAATAAAACATTATCGAAAGCTCTTGCTGAATTACTTACAATAATAGGGAAATATGCAGGTATTTGTGCTTGAAAGCAATCATATTCTTTGTTTCACAGCTTAATGGAACTTGCATCCCAGAGTACCCAATGGACCAATTTAAATCACAATAAGGAGCCGACTTTCAGCTCACAAAAACAAGGAAATAGACAGTTATGGCTTAAATCTGGTGTGACACCCTGACTTTAACTGAGACTGCTGTGCCAATAAACAGAAGTGCGATTTAAAGCCTGCCTTTGTCAACCAGGAGTGTTAGACATCACTGTGAAATTTCAGGTTTTGTGGGGTTAATTGCACAACTCTTTGCTTTGCTTTAACGAGCTGGTTTGTAGCTGAAGAATTGTGATTTCCTTTGTTTCTTTTGTTGGGACCAAGGTAGTTTAAGGGGGAACATTAGCCATTTAATTATGAGTGTAGAAGTGAAGACTTGCTGTTGAAATTAGTCATTAGAAACTTTGTATAAAATGTGATCTTTTTAATCCACAGATGCAAGACCACAGTGTCTCCTGCAAGAGCCTGTCCAGACGTGTCTATTATATGAAGTATTACACAGTATTATTTTTATCTCACAGGTCATTTCATGGTGCTAGGATGGAAAGGAGAAAAGAGAGCTCAACGGGGTGGAGGAGAAGCTGAGGACGGAGGGATGGAAGCAGAAGTCTAAGTGGGTGAGAAATGGGGGGAAAAGTAGTGAGCCTGGGAACCTTAGGAATGGGAGGTCAAAGTGCTGGGAGGGCCTAGATGAAATGTACAGCATGGGGCTCTGCTATGACCCTCAGATAGGGAGACCAAAACTGAACATAGTATCCTAGATGAGGGCATATAATTAATTCATATAATAGAGCTACAGTATTTTTCTATATTTTTCACCATCCCATTCCTTACACAACTGAATGTTTTTGTTTGTTTGTTTGTTCTTTCTTACTGCTACTGCACATTAAAGAGAGGTTTTCACTGAGGGTTGATCTACACTGGGAATTTACATCAGCATAGCTACCTCTCTCAGGGGTGTGAAAAATCCACCCCCTGAGAGACATAGCTCTCTCAACCTAATCCCCTGTATAAACAAAGCAAGGTTGGTGAACGAATTCTTCTGTTGACCTCACTAGTGCCTCACAAGGAGATAGATTACCTAGGCTAATGTCTACAGTAGGGGAGGGAAAACTACGGCCTGCAGGCCGTATCCGTCCCGTCAGGGCTTTTAATCTGGCCCGCGGGATTGCCAGCCCTGTGGCATGGCGGGGATAAGGCAGGCTCCCTGCCCTGGCCTGGCTGGCACCATGTCCCTGTGGCCCCTGGGGGTGGGGGGAAGGAGAAGAGGGCTCCGTGCACTGTCCTCTCCTGGAGGCACCATCCCCCGCAGCTCCCATTGGCTGGGAATGGGGAACTGCAGCCAATGGGAGCTGTGGGGGTGGTACCCACAGGCGAGGGCTGCATGTGGTGGAGCCGCCTGCCCCACCCGACCCCCAGGAGCCACTGCCAGATGATGCTGGCCAGTTCCGGGAGCGGTGCAGGGGCCAGGGCAGGCAGGGAGCCTGCCTTAGCCCTGCTGCGCCATGGGGCTCGAAATCCCGCGGGTCGGATTGAAAGCCCTGACAGGCTGGATCCGGCCTGTGGGCTGTAGTTTGCCCTCCCCTGACTTAAGATCATACTTAGTCCCATTGACTTCAGGGAGACTTCAGCATAGTAGTCTAGTCAAGGGCAAACATGGATAAATGGAGTTTACCCACTTCTCATTTGGAGAATATAGAGTTTAGGTTCGTTTATCCACTTTTTTTTTTTTTTTAAACCACGACACCACTGCTTAAACCCATGCTTAACGTTAAGCACAGTCCCTGAATTGGGATTTTCTGAATTGGAGCCTCAGGGAGTAATCACAAGTCTGATGGGGAGAATTATTTATTTCATTTTGGATTTCCTTCCTTGAGAGTGGGTTGTTTTTTTTTTAAAAAAAAACTTCACATTTTCGATTCACTGTTGAAGGACTTGGGTGCTATTGTACTACAAATGATAAAGCTAAAGGATTTGAACTATAGGATTTATGTAGGGCAGATATAGCAACACAGAGATAACTAAATACAGGCTATCTGCTTCAGAAGTATCAGCAGAATGACCTGCAGCATGTGCTCCTGTTGTATTATTTTGATGAGCCCCTCCTTTTCTTCCTCACCTCTTCTGTATTTCTTTGCTTTAGTTCTAATTATTTGAAGCTCATATGATATATGGGCTTCCAATAATTAGAACTAGTGTAAGGAACCACAGAAAGGAGATTTATGCCAGTGGAATACAAAGAGCCTTCTGACGGTATAATTTTTCTCTTTGGACTTTGAAATCCGTTTCTGCTGTCTCCACTCTAACAGAGCTATATCATTTTAGTCCACATAATTGTATTCCCCCTTTTCTTAGACAAGCAATGGCCTAAGCCCTTATTAAGTAACAGATCAAATGTCAAAGTTCTGTTGTAAATCAACAGGGAGCCTGTAACAAGTGAGGGTGAGAGGAAGCAGGGGGAGCAGGCAGTCAAAGACAGGAATAAGATTTGTTGCCAAGTTATTAGAAATGAATGCTTTAAAGACAAGCCTGCTCAAACTTTCCTTGGGACAATTTAGTAACAATAACAACATTGCATTACTTCTGCCTTGTCCCCGGGCCAGGCCAAGCCTGTCATCTGGAAATAAAGCTAAAACCTCCCTGACTTGTGCAAGTGTTAGGGAGGGAATCTCATCTGCTGCTAAATTGCTTGTGAAAAAGTATAAATATTTTAAGCCAAATAAGTAAATACATGTTAAGGACATCTCCCATAGGTTTTGCTAAGAAAGCACATCTGAAGAGAATGTTATCAGCCCTCTTTCCTTTTGCTTACTTCCTTGACAACTTCTTGTAAACTTTGTAAGTATTATCCTGACTTGCCCTTTCATAAAATTTCACAACTGATATCACGGTTTCTTCCCAATGAGCCTAATGTGGGGCTTATGTTCTGCTTGTGAAGCATTTGTACTGATTCAGCTTTAAAAATGATTCTTGTGTTGACATCTGATGACAGTCAAAGATGAACTACAAAGCAACACTGAAGTTAAACCTAGATTTCTATTATGAATATCCCCACTCTGTGTGTGAGAGAGTACTCAGCACAGAAATAAATTTGTACTGGCTTTTGGAAAACATGTTTACTGATTTATTTTCACATTCTTCTGTGGAATCCTCTTGGTACTTCCCAGTTCAGTGGCAATATCCCAGACTGAGACATCACAAATATCAGAAGTCTCATTGAAAATTTATATATATAAAAATTAAGCTGGGGTAACAGTTAATGTTGAAGGAAATTATACTAAAACTACCAATACTTTTGCTGAGCAGAAGTTGGGGACAATTTGCTTACCACAAAAAAAGGAATGATTAAGTTCTGTGCCTAGCATCATTCTGATATCCATTCTACTCCTTTCTGCCCTGGTATTCCTTCTTGGGTTTTTTTAGACTGCCGGCTCTTCAGGACAGGGACCATGGCTTCTAATGTTGTCGTACAAAACCTAGTACAATGTGATTTTGATTCTGTCTGGGGCCTCTACGCACTACAGGAATACAAATAGTTAATAATAATATCACAGAGAAGAAACAGGTGTTTTAAAAGGTGAGTTAAAACACCTTATTTCTCAACTGAAAGTCCTACACATCCTGCTTTGTACATGATACTTGGCACAGCAACATGGCTACCTTTTTGCTTTGCACATCACTTCAAAAGTCTGTGCTCTTTGTGCTACATGGACATAACTAGTGAGAAACGAATGTCTTGTCTACACTATAGCAAGTGACGCTGACGATTAAAAATCGCTATAATTACATTGCTTGTGCATGTTCACACAACGCTCCTTCTGTCAGCAGAGCACATCCACGGTCGGTGCTCTAGCATCAGTAGTGAGAACCGTGAACTGTGGGTAGCTATCCCACTGTGCTAGTCGCCACCTTCTGCAGCTAGGTGTTGTGGGAAGGCGCAATGGATCAAAGTGCATCATGCCTGAGGGCTCAACATCCCATGATGCAGGTTTTTCTGTCCCATCATTCCATGGACTGCATTTCACAGCATTTTCAATGGCCCCTGTTTACTGTGCGCCCGCCATCTCTGAGTGAAAGGTTGGATCCTCCACTGCTGTCTGCTGTTGTGATCACTGTTATGACCAGCTGCTATGTATTCATGCAGTATATCACAAGCATCCAAGCTGAACAGGAATCAGAGGTGCCTGGCCTGCTCTGTGCCAGGAAAACAAACAACACCAGATTACTTTTGCCATTCAAGGAGTAGCTGCACACAGTGGACTGTCGCTATTGGGCTTGGGAAACAAGTACTCAGTGGTGGGATCGCATTGTTATGCAGGTCTGGCTGCAGAACTTTCAGATGTGGAAAGCCGCCTTCCTGGGAGTGTGTGTGGAGCTTGCCCCAGCACTACAGTGCAAGGACACCAAAATGAGAGGTGCCCTCTTGGTGGAAAAGTGCATGACGATCACTGTATGGAAGCTGGCAACTCCAGACTGTTACCATTCAGTCACAAATCAGTTTGGAGTCGGGAAGTCCACTGTTGGGGCTGCGTTAACGCAAGTGTGCAGGGCCATTAATTGCCTCCTACTACAAAGGACTGTGACCCTTGGAAATGTGCATGAAATAGTGGATTGCTTTGCGGCATTGGGATTCCCTACATGTGGCGGGGCAATAGGTGGCATGCATATCCCAATTTTGGTCCTGGACTGTTTTGTGAAGAAGTACATCAATAGAAAGGGGTTATTTCTCTATGTTTTTGCAGGCGCTTGTGGATCACCGTGGTCGTTTCACTGACATGAACACGAGGTGGTCAGGGAAGGTGCAAGATGCATGCATCTTCAGGAACACTGGCCTGTACAGAAAGCAGGGACTTTCTTTCCAGACCAGAAGATTCCAGTGGGGGATGTTGAAATGCCCATAGTAATCCTGGGAGCTGCAGCATATCCCTTTATCCCATGGCTCATGAAGCCCTACACGAGAAACCTGGACAGCAGCAAGGAGCACTTCAACAATAAGCTGAATAGGTGCAGAATGACCATAGAATGTGCCTGTGGCAGATGAAAAGCACGTTGGCGCTGCCTTTATGACACATTAGACCTAAATGAGGAAAATATTCCCATGGTCATAGAAGTTTGCTGTGTGTTCCATTATGTTTGTGAAACTAAGTGTGAAAAGTTTTCCCTGAGGTGGAGAGTGGAGTCAGATAGCCTGGTGGCTGATTTTGAGCAGCCAGATACCTGGGGTATTAGACGGGCACAATGGGGTGGTGTGTGGGGGGGTATTTGAATCAGGGAGGCTTTGAGGCACCATTTTGAAAATGAGCTCCAGCAATGTGTCTTTCTATACAGCACTCTGCCATGCTCTAACTTGCCGCCTTGCATGAAAATTTTGATGACTGCTTCCCGACCGTGATTTGTAGTCAACAAATGTTCCAGTTGCCATTGTGTATTAACTCCAGCAGCAACCACCATGTGTAGGAGACAAATGAAGATGGATTATTTTTTAGAGAGTATGTTACTAAATACAAATTAACAACACACAGAAAATGCTTGGTGGAAAAGGCCATCTCCTGAAGGAGACTCTCATAGCTGTGTGTAACTTAAGGTATCATTTTGTAAGCTGTGAAAAGGGGAGGAGTGAATGGGGGTACTGCGACAGGCTGGGAAGATGCAAGGAATGCGTGGGAGGAGTTTGGGGAGGGCATGAAAATCAGTTCTGTATAGGCTTCATGGGCGACTGAGCATGCGTGTGTTCTGCCTGCAGTGCAATTAGAGACTTCAACCTCTCTGTTTGCTCCTCCATCACTTTTGTCATCTGCTCCTGGCCCACTAAAATTCACTCCTTCCTCTTCTGCCTATCTATTTTATGATTTTCATTTACAGTCTATCCCCCCACCCTGTGTTCTTGTTTTTTGGCATCTGAGAATTGGAACACCTCTTGAAACATGTCTTCTTTGCTCCTCTTCAGTCACTTCCTTATCTGGTGTGTAGGGGCTTCCCCTGAAGGTCACATCTGCAGAAGCACAAGAAACAATAAACAGATGCATGATCGTTAGTGCACTCAGCATTGAATCATTATAGTAAAATACACCTCTTTCTCACTGTCCATTGGCAAGCACACAGATCAGCCAATTCCCTAAACATGAGTTTGGCTCTGGGCGGGGGTGCACTCAAGATGGGGGAAAGGGTCTTGGTGGTTTTCTAAGGGGATCACTGCAAACAACTCGGGGCAAAATTATAAATTCTGCCACCATTTTCCACAGACAGGTGTCATTGAAGCTGATATCTCACTCCTGAGGGTAAGCAAGGATGCAAGGGCGCATCCCTGCATGCATGTGGCTTCAGACTGGGTCCCTATTTTGTTTGCCTGTGTGCCGCTTTGGTGCCTGCACAAGTGATTGCCAATTGGAGGGGGAAAGTTTCCTACAATGGGGGAAGGAACAAAGCCGCTTTCCCAAGGAACTTTCAGCAGAGGATTGGTGAGTACCTCCAGGAAAGTTTCTTAGAGATTTCTCCAGAGGATTCCCGTGAAATCTTGCTGCACATTAACGCACTATTCCGCCCCACTGCATAGCTGCACAGGGGAATGCACAGCTAGTCTTGTACACTTCTATCCCTTAACCCAATTCTAGCACATAACAAAACAAAGGACAGCTCTACTTATGAACCAGCATCAACTCAAAAAGATTACTTATCTGGGCTCCCCTCTCCTGCATCATGCATGCCAGAGTTGGAGTGCTGGAACTGGCTTGAACCCTCCTGGGTCGAGAAGAGAACCTGACTCACCACGGTACCAGATGACCCTGTTGCCTGTCCCATCTCCTCTCCAACTCAACCTCCTTATCCACCTCTTTGTCCTCAGGGTTGATTCCACTGTCTCCTGTCTCCAGCCACCCTGAATTATCCACAGGGCGCTTGGCTGTGGAGGTGGGGTCACCGCTGAGGATGGCATTCAGCTCCTTATAGAAGCAGCAGGTCTTTGGCACAGCACCAAAGAGCGGCGGTTTGACTCCCCTGCCTTCTGGTACACCTGTCTCAGCTTCTTTATCTTCACATGGCACTGACGTGTGTCCCATTCATAGACATCATCCAACATGCCACAAGAAATCTGACCGTAGGCAACAAAGTTCCTATGGATGGAACGGAGCTGGGACTACACAGCCTCATCTTCCCACAGAGCCAGCAGATCTAACAACTCAGGTGTGCTCCAAGCGGGACAGTGTTTTCTGCATGGAGCCACCATGGTCAGCTGGGAAGATGCTATGTGGGCAGTCCACACCAAGCAAACAGGAAGTGGAATTTCAGAAAATCCCTTTAAAGGGGGAGGGCTGAGCCATCATGATGGACATTGTGGGACACCTCCTGGAGGCCATTTACAACCAAGTGCAGTATCTACACTGACATTTTGTTGACCTAAGTTTGCTGCAAAAAGTTCTACGCCTCTTGTCAAGGTGGTTTTACTTTGTTAGCAAAGCAGGAGAATATTTTCAGAGGAAGGAGCATTATTGTGTGTACACCTCCACTGTTTTGTCGATGAAAGCTGCCTTTTGTCAACAAAACTCTAGTATAGACAAGGCGTGACTTTCTCCCTTCCCTAGAATATTGCAACAAATGAACATCAAGATCTGTGGAAATAATGTGTTTAAAACAGGAAACAAACCCAGAATTTCCCTCTCACTTTTCAGGTTTGACAAGAACAGAGTAATTGTAAAGGATGAGTCAAACATGGATACAGGGTACAAGTTTTTCAATTAAAGTAAAATACTTGATAGGAAGAAATGCACTCAGCAGGGCATGTGATGGGCTTAATCTCTTTAAATTCTTTATTATAGCCGGGCTTCTGTTTGTCTTATTAGGCACTTGAATGGAGACATAAGATGAAGAGCATAGGTCTTTAATTGCTTATTGCTTCGAACATAGAAATACTTAACCTGAAAGGAATCAAATAAGATATTATTAGTTCAGGGTATATACCATTGTGACAAAAAACACCACCACCACCACAACAGCAAAAAGCAGTAAAAGCAACTTGAAATAATGTGAAGTGGTAAAGAATATATAGAAAAAAGGCATGAATAAAAAAGATAAAGTACAATAAAAGAGCATAACCAGCCATCCTACTATACTGAACTGAAGGGTTTAGGTTCACATTAGCAAAGTGATAAAATGATTTGAAAAGCTATACCTGTGAACATAAAGGAGGTACCTATCATGGAGTAGGGAAGAAGGAGGGCAGAACTGGTGAGATGTAAAAGCTTTTTGCCTCCGCATAGCAATGTGTCTCAGCCCACAAATGTAAAGGGCGTACTGGTCTTAGCTTCTTGTGAATATTTGTCTTCCTCACAAAATCACCTCACCCTTAGCATAGGTAACAGGAAAGGGAAAGCTAGATGGGAGAGACAAGGTGGCAGGGGCGCTCCCACTTTTTACTGGCTGTAAGGACGAGCAACGGAGTGGAGGGGCAGGGTCTTGGGGAGAAGAGAAGTGGGGCCTCGGGGGAAGAGGTGGAATGAGGGTGGGGGCTTGGGGGAAGGGGCAGCATGGAGGGGTCATGGTGCCATAGTTCAGGCATCGGTGA